AATATGTAAATATATTTTGTGCTTATTTCGTTAAGCGTAGCTTAAGCAAATTGATATATATGAATATATGTGCATACATATAGGAGAGTGAGTAGCTACTTGAAAAAATGCGAACAATTTAGTGGGCAGAATTTTATGATTGGAATGTTCTAACATACAAGCGATTTGAAATGTAAATATGTATAATAAAAATTCGTGAGTATTTCCTATTGCTTTTTATCGATCGTTTCCATATGAACATATGTTTTATTGGCAGATATCTCTGTCGAGAGTTGATATTATGCATCATTACTGTACACATATTTGTCACAAATAAGTTCGAAAAAATAATAAGGTTGAAAAAAAGGCGAGAGGCCCATGGGAGTATGTACATATAAATATATATTTAGGCAATTAAATATAATGTAACCTTCCTATATTTGTATATAAAATTATATGCGGTAAATGAAACTAAATATGTAATAAACAATATAGAAGACAAGGAAATCGTCCCTAGTTCCATATATGCCTATTGCTAAAGCCAGTTACCAAAAATAGGTTTAGAAGTTCACTTGGCAATTATGTATATTAGACACTTGGAATTATATTTGAATGTACCCTTTAAAAATCCCTCTCTTGTTTTTTTTTATTAAATGAGAGGTATAAAGGCTGCAAGTAAAATCTACAATTTTATGTATTGCACCTCAAACGAATATTGTTGGGGCTCTACCACCCACCTTGCTATCCGACCCAAGTTACTTTCGATCGGGTTGAGCTATTTCACCCCAGGTGGACGGTAATTGCTGTGAAGTTGTACTCTTCCAGATACGGCCTCATTTTTCTGAATGTCCTTACTATCGCTGGGCACTCCTTCTCCGTTGTTGAGTAGTTCCTTTCGGCTTTATTTAGTCTCCGGCTCGCATATGTTAATAATCGTTTGCTACCATCTAACAGTTTGACCTCTTGTAGATTTGCCGGAGGAGTAAGCCCTCTTATAGCTGCTACTTTAAATACTTTAATTCTTTCTAAAAAAAACTTGCTCATCTCGTGGTTGATCTTGAGGTTGGCTTCTATTAGCATGCAAAAAGTAGTGTTTTTTTCGAGCACGCCATTCACGGGATCGGTGTTTTTGAAGGTGTTGACTGACTCCTGGTAAATGGCGTTTAGTGCTTGTCTGTGCACCGTTGTTGTTATTGTTGTTGTTGTTGCAACCGCAAAAATATTCCCCAAAATACTTTGTGGGGAATGTTTCGGGAGTGGCAGTACTTGGTCGGATAAAAGTCCGGGTCGTTTCGGTATAAAGACCCGACTGTCGCGGAAATTTTAGTCGCCTCTTACGACAGGCATGCCTTGCCGCGGATGAATTCTTGAACCCCTAACCCGCAAAGGACACCGTCCTGTCCAGCGGTTGTTGCATGTATTGCTGGGTAGTGTCCTTCATGACAAGTACTCCCTTTCTGCTGTGCCTAGGTAGTGGTTCAGCTTCACTAAGCTGCCTATTAGGGTGTACCCTACAGTAGCATCCCAATAAGAATTGCTTGCACAGCAAAGCATTATGTCTGGCAGTAAAGAAGTGAAAAAGGTTGGCAAGATAGCAGTTCACTTTCGAATAACTTCCTTACTTTAGTGGCGTAGACACCGCTTACGCGGTTTTTAGCAGATTTAACAACATTGTGCCATTCGTTTCTTCTTTCTGCTATTGTGTGTCAATAGGAATTACCAACAACAGTCCGGTCCTTCTCTACCTGGTCTTTCCAACTGAGTGGAGGTCTTCCTCTTCCTCTGCTTCCACCGGCGGGTACTGCATCGAAAGCTTTCAAAGCTGGAGTATTTGCATCTATCCGGACCACATTACCTAGCCAGCGTAGCCGCTGCTTCTTGATTCGCTGAACTAAATATATCGATGTCGCCGTATAACTCGTGCAGCTAATCGCTCCATCATCTGTGGCATTGGCCATTGCCAATGCGCAAAGAACCATAAATCTCGAAAACTCCAAACGCCGACTCATCAGATGATATCATCGTTCATGTTTCCGCACTATAAAGCAAGACGAAGAACGATGAGGGACTTGTAAAGTGTGAATTACATTCGTCGGGAGAGGACCTTATTTGTCGATTGGCTACTCAGTCCAAAATAGCACCTGTTGGCAAGAGGGATTCTGCGCTGGACTTGAAGGCTGATATTCTTATTGATGTTAGTGCTGGTTCCTAGATAGAGGAAGTCCTCTACGACTTCAAAGATATGACTACCTGGCCCATATCTGCAGAACCCTCGGTGAGGTTTTTGAGGCTAGTAATGACAATATCATCGGCATATGCCAGCAGCTGTACACTCTTATAAGAGATTGTACCTTCTCTATTCAGCTCAGTAGCTCGTATATATTTATTCTCTCCAACATAAAATTAAAAAAGTATTTTGTTTGAAGTGAAAATCTCTGACTTTTTTCAACGCTTGCCGATCTGAAGTCGGCTCGAGTAAAGGAGGAGAAAGCCGACGCCACACAGTGCTGTGAAATCAGCTGGGTTTTGTGATAATGTCGATAGTGGCCCAAAATTGAGTACAGCGTCAATTCGAACTAAGAGTGTTATGAACTCTTCAAATGTGAATTTGTGGGATGCAGCGGTTTTTTGAAGTGAGTTTTAAATATATTGCCAATTGACGCCTTGGGGAGCATACTTCTGGCTAATGTCTGGTGAATATTCGTTAAGGAATTTGACGATTTCGCATTCAGTTGCTCTCTGTGCTCCAATGAACGTTTTTCCATGATCGCTCATAATTTTGGCGGGATATCCTCGCCTGCCCACAAAACGGGTGAATGCTGCTCTAAATGCCTCAGTGATAAGATCAGAGCATAACTCAAGATGTACTGTCTTTGTCGCGAAACAAACGAATACGGCAACGTACCCTTTGAGCGTAATGGATCTCAAAACTGAGGCCTTTATCAAAAACGGTCCTGCGAAGTCCACTTCAGTTACAGAAAATGGGAGGGACATTGTGCACTATTTAGGGGGTAGAGTGGCCATTAGCTGGGAGCGGGTTAGTTGCTTGCATAGAGTACATTTTTTTACTGAAGGCTTTAGCTTCAGTATGAAGTATTCTTGCCTGACTATTTGAAGCATGAGGCGCGTCTCTGCATGGAGAAGCAGTGCGTGTAGGAACTTCAAATGTAATTGACAAAATCTTGATGCATTTGGGATGATGATTGGGTGCCGCTGATTATAGCTAAATGCGGCACGCTCAAGTCTTCCACGCGGAGAAGTCCGTTTTTATCCAGAAATGGATACAGGTTGAGGAGTGAACTTTTTTTGTCCATTGGCTTTTTCTTTTGCAACGCATCTTTTTCGCCAGGAAAATAGCGAGATAACGATACCTCGATTAGACGCTGCTTTGCGAATTGGCATTCAGCATGAGTTAGATGTAGCATGGTAGTTATTGGTTGCATTTGTGACTTATTCTGGACATAGTTCATAAAACGGAACATAAACGCAGTCACGCGGATTGCTCGAGGGAGTGAAGAAAATCGATCGAGAAAATCGGGCTCTTCTTCGAGCGCATGAAAGGCCTCAATTTTCCGCTATTGTGGCGGAGAGAAACTGAGTGCCTTTGAATTAGGCCAAGATTCCATGTGGTGTACGAGCCACTTTGGTCCGTGCCACGAGAGCGAATAGGTGCCTAAGTCTTGGGGTTTGCAACCACGTGTGCCGAGATCAACGGAGTTATCTCCGCTTGCTACATGACGCCATACTCCGCTTGGGACATATTCCCGAATTTGGGAGGCGCGTATAGACACGAATGTCTTTCATATGCACGATGGTTTTTCGAGCCATGCCAGTACTATTTTAGAGTCTGACCATAAAAATGTGTTGCACGCTTCTAAGCCTAGTTGCTTCTGGACAGTTGCAGTCAGTTTTGCTAACAGTACTGCTCCGCACAGCTCTAAGCGAGGAAGGCTTATCGTTTTCAAAGGTGCAACTTTGCTTTTAGCAACCAATAGGGTGGATGTTGCATTAGTATTCGCTTCTGTGCATACATACGTGTATATGGTTGCTTTTTCCGAGGCATCGCAGATCCCATGGATTTGGGTATCCTGCCCCGAAGTAAAATTGAGCTGTCGAGGAATTTCGATGTCAGAGATAAACTGGTGCCATTTTACCATTGAAGTGGGTTCTGTGTATTCATCCCAATCAATGCCAAAGTTCTTGAAATAGAATCTTTACTCATATCATAACTGGCGATAGCCATCCTGCCGGGTCAAAAAGTTTCGCGACCGACGACAGAATTTGCCGTTTTGTTGCGGCTGTAGTTGCTGAAATTGGCAGGATGGTGTACGAGAACCTGTCCGTTAATGCGTCCCATCGGATACCGTAAGTTTTGGTTTTGGAAGCAACTTCGAATTTCATGAAATTGGAGTCGAGAAGGTCTCTCTCGGGAATTTTTCCAATATGGCCGTAATGTTAGCCGTTAATTTCTTGAGAATAAAGCCAGCTGAGTTCAGCGCTTTGATCACTTGAAAGAGTGAATCGGTGGCATTGTCAATATCATGACTTCCGGACAGGACATCATCAACATACGATTGGGTTTTGAGTATTGGTGTGGCCAGTGGAAACTTCACTTTTGTATCTTCTGCCAATTGATGTAGAGTACGGCTAGCGAGATATGGGGGGCACAGTTAACCCCGAATGTTACTGTGTTAAGATTGTAATCAGAGATGGGGGAATCCTCTGACTCGGGAAACAAAATTCGCTGATAATATTTATCGTCCTCATGAATGAGGATTTGCCGATACATTTTTTCAATGTCTCCATTGAATACATATCTGTACATGCGCCATTGTTAAATTAGCGACATGAGGTCCGGTTGGGGTGAAGGACCTGTATGTAAAATATCATTTAGGGGATTACCAGAACTTGATGTTTTCGATGCGTTGAAAACCACTCGCACTTTCGTCGTGACTTTATCTGGTTTTACAACCGCATGATGTGGCAAATAGAACGAATAGTAGTTGCCATTGGAATTGATTTCACGGGGGATTGTGAGTTCCATGGTCCAACGTTATATATTCTTGCAACACATCGTTGTACATTGTCTTTAACTCCCTTTTCTTCTGAAGCGTAGGTTCCATGCTAAGGAATTGCTGGAATGCCGCAGACCGGTAATGGCCTAGGGTGAGTTTTTCTGGATAAGTTTCCTTAAATGGAAGCCTGACAATGCAGTGACCGCTTGAAATGCGGGTCGTTGTTGCAACATAATAATCTTCACATGCCTGATTTTCAGTCGTACTTTGTGGAGGTTTATGGATTTCCTCCTGTTCCCAGAATTGTCTCAGTTGTGTACTGGGCGTTTTTTTGGAAACTCGTTCTGTTTGGGTGGAAAATGAGGATACCTTTTCGGTCGCCGAACACCTAAGTATCCATCCAAATAAGGTATTTTGCGCAAGAAGATTGTCGCAAACTTTTTGCAGCTCTTCCACTAGAATTTGTGGAATAAGATGGCTGCCGATAACCATATCGATTTGAGCTGGAATGTAACAATTTGGGTCAGCTAGCTCGAGACTACTCAGTTCATGCCAGTTTTCACGGCTCATTGTAAAGGTCGGAAGAAGCTTTGTTTTGGAAGAAACCAGCGTCAAAGAACAAAGCTTAGAGGAATTTTGGACCACTCGACCACCCATGCTAGGAATTTCCCATCTGGAATGTTCAAACGGTAATTTCAATTATTTCTGGACTTTCGAGGAAATAAAAGTCCTGGAACCTTGGTCAATCAAGGTCCGTAATTGAAATAATTCTCCTTCATTTTCAACTGCCACCATTACTATTGGAAGAAGAACTTTGTTTTCGATATTTGAGTGTAAAGACTGTATGTGTGCTTGCTTTGAATAGCACGGTTGCTCGTCGGGATTCTAGCTGGTTTGTGGCTGTCGAGCGGGAATTGTCGACTTTGCCGTTGTATGTTATACTGTAGCTTCATGGGGTCGGCTACTGGTATGTTGAGCATGTGGTTTAACATCTATGTGCAGTAGAGTATGATGCATTTGTTGGCATTTCGCACATGTAAACTTGCTTTTACAGTCTTTGACATTATGGTTGTAAGCAAAGCAGTTTTTTACATAGGCTGTTTTTCTGTACAACCTTAAAACGTTCTTTTTCTGACATTTTTCGGAATTTTTGACACAATTTTAGGGGTGGCTGGAGTTGCACATCTGGCAGGAATATGCCTTCATTCGATCTAGCATAAAGTCTTGTGTCCTAATTAAAGGTTTTTGCTGAGCAGCATATGGAGTACTGGGTTTAGGCTTATTAGGATGAAGCCTATTTAGTCTTTCTACCACTTCGTACTGTGAAGTTAGAAAGTCGTCTGATTGAGACCATTGGGGTAGATCTTTTCTTGCTGAGAGCGATTGTTCCCACAGTGACAGAATTGTTTCTGGTAATTTTGTTGAACAAATGTATACCAGTATAGGATCCCAACTGTCTGTTGAAACGTCTTGAGAATATAAGACAAACAGACAGTTGTTAAAACTTGTTTGAGGCCTTTGTATTTGTTCGCTATTCTCTGATTGGATAGCAGGCAAGTTCATTAAAATGTTGACCTGATTATCTACTAAAATGAGTTTGTTTTCATATCTAGGCCGAAGCGCTTACCAAGCCAGACAGAAATTATCGTCACTCAAAGCATATTGTTTGACAATAGCTCCGGCTTTTTCTTGTGTTTTATACCTAAGGTGGTATAGTTTTTGAGCACGAGAGAGCTTCGGGTGGTTAATGTACACGGCTGTGAACATGTCACGGAAAGCCGGCCATTCTTCATAACCCCCATATAATATCTTTGTGTCACAAGGAGGAACTTGTAAGAAGACATTGGAAGCATTTGATTGCTCTGAAGTGGGTTCCACCCGGGATGGTGGACTAAGAGCATCGGCTAGTCTGAGAACTTTAAGCTGGTCTGACATCTTGATTTAGGTAATTTCGTAGATGTCAAGACGTACGTCATACTTGCCTTGAGCTGACTCTTTGAACTTGTCAGGCAGGCTGTCATCCGTTTTGGAAAAAACGTTATCACAGGCAGCTTGCAGTCGTACAGAATAGTCATTCAGACTTTTGTGTTTGACTTTGAGATACGATTCAGTATGATCTTCAATTGGGGAATCACCAAATCTTGCATAGTAAATAATTAGGCTGTCACTTTCTGTTATAAACTTTTGCGCACAGGGGTCGTACGCTCTTGGCAAATTTCGTTTCTTGATCTAGAGTTTTTTGGGACTGTGTTTAATTTGCATTGAGGGATTTTGGAAAAAAGGCCTAAAAAATTCAATAAAGCAAGAAACTAACTACCCAGCAGATAGTGAAATCAGTATTTGCACTACTGCCCACAGAAAATTTATAAACTCGGAAAATGATCTTAGTATATGTGCGAGTGTGTGCGTGTTTGTTTTTTTTTGTCGAAAATGATTGACTGGATATAATTCTAAACTTAACTTACAGAAAATAGTTAAGCTACTGTTTTGAAATAAACAAAGTAGAAAAGCCGAAAGTAAAACAAAAAAAAATTTAATAAATTTAAAATAAAAAAAAGAAAATGTACGTGGATATATTATATAAGGTTGTCAAATATCTCCCTTCCGCTTTTTTGTCTTTTGAATTTCGCGGCTATGTACAAAGCGCTACAGAGCTCGTATCTGGCAACACTATGCATAATTTGAAAGGTCTTGACATAACCTACAAAACAACGCTATGCATGATTAGTTTTGATAATGCGTTCAACAGTTATAGACGTGTAAACATGGAGTTCACTAACGCCGAAATTCGCGCTAATTTAAAGTTTTCCTTCGTTAAAGGCAAATCCGCTAGAGAAACGTTCCGTGAGATTAATGGTGTTTTGGCGGATGGTACTCTATCACTTCGAACCGCGGAGGAATGGTTTCGACGATTCAGAGCCGGTGAAAACGACACCATGGATAAGCCAGCCGGCGGAAGACCTGTGACGACAAATACCGATCAAATCATGGAATACATCGAGTTAGACCGGCATATGGCATCTCGTGACATCGACCAGGAGATGGGAGTTAGTCACCAAACCATTTTGAACCATCTGCAGAAGGCTGGATACAAAAAAAAGTTTGATGTTTTGGTGCCACATAATTTGACGCAAAAAAACCTACTGGACCGAATCAACGCCTGCGATATGCTGCTGAAACGGAACGAACTCGACCCATTCTTGAAGCGGATGGTGACTGTCGACAAAAAATTGATCACATACGACAATATCAAGCGAAAACGGTCGTGGTCGAAGGCCGGTGAATCGTCCCAAACAGTGGCCAAGCCGGGATTGACGGCCAGGAAGGTTTTGCTGTGGGTTTGGTGGGATTGGAAAGGAATCATCGACTATGAGCTGCTCCCATATGGCCAGACGCTTATTTCCACCATCTACTGCGAAAAACTGGACCGCTTGAAGCAGGCGATCGACCAGAAGCGTCCAGAATTGGCCAACAGGAAGGGTGTAGTGTTCCACCAGGACAACGCCAGACCACACACTTCGTTGATGACTCGTCAGAAGCTACGGGAGCTCGGATGGGAGGTTTTATCGCATCCACCATATAGCCCGGACGTAGCGCCAAGTGATTACGACCTGTTCCTGTCCATGACGAATGCCCTTGGTAGTGTGAAGTTGAACTCAAAAGAGGCTTGTGAAAAGTGGCTGTCCGAATTCTTCGCAAATAAGAAGGGGGGCTTCTACGAGGAAGGTATTATGAAGTTGCTGTCTAGATGGAAACAGATCATCGAACAAAACGGCGCATATTTTAACTAAATCCGATCACTGTAACACTTTTTATAAAGCATTGAATGAAGAGCAAAAAAGCGGAAGGGAGATATTTATTATATTATATTGAATAACACATATATTTACACTTCGCATCCCACACCTAATTAAGTTATTAGGGTCAAGTTGCGAAAGTCCTCTATTTTCCATAGAATGAACTGATTTAAAGAGTAGTAGTGCAGACAACATCTGTTTGATAGCCACTTTTCAAACCATGATTGATGTGGGCCGTAATTCCAGCACGTTCGATAGGGTAGATTTGCCTTTACTAAACCCACGATGTGAGTCGTCTTTTCAAACACCAAGAAGATTCTATGTTGAAAAGTTGCAATCACGGGTTCTCCACTCGACTTTCTCACCTGCTCTCTGAGAACACTCATCAGCAAACCAGCATGAGTCATATGTGGGACGGCATTTCAAACTCCCTACGTACAGCGCCAAGCGAAACTATTGGATTTCGAAAAGGCCGAAAAAACAGCTGGTACGACGAGGACTGTCGTGTCGCGGTGGAGAGAAAACAGACTGCCTACTCCGCAAGCTTGCGATCGATCAGAACACCAGCGGGTTGAGGTAGATACCGAGAGCTAAAAAGGGAAGCAAGCCGCATTGGCGGGAAAAAAAGAAAGAGGCCGAAATGCGTGAGTACGATGAGCTTGAGAGTCTGGCCGACAAGGGTAATGCTCTAAACTTCTACGAAAAGATACGCCGACTTACGGAAGGTTTCAAGACCGGAGCAAACTCTTGTAGGACCCAGGGAGGTGATCAAGTGACGGATGCACAAAATATATTGAGTTTGTGGAGGGAACACTTCTCTAGCCTGCTCAATAGCAGTCAAAAGGAAACACCCAGAAATGGTAAGCCCGGAATTCCAATTAAAGACGAAGTAAAAGTTGTTCCGTTTCCCGACTATGAAGGAGTCCAAATAGCAAACGCCTCCTAAA